GGGGCTTTACTTTTTCCTGACTCTCTGGAAACTCTTCTCAGTGCCTTCTAATATGGAGACAGCAATGCTCAAATTGCTTTTGACAGGGCCAAGATCCTTTCTTGCATTCCATCAGTTTGAGAAGGGGATAATGATGCACCCCCAGCTCCTTCGGCCTCTGAAAACTTGTCAGCAAGAGAGGAAAGATGCAAAGGAAGTCTCTTTCTCGCTCTGTCTTGCAATCAGAGAAAGAATCATAGAGGACTGTGCTCAGTGCCAGATGGTGCTCATCTTGCTGACATTGAGAGGCCTTTACAGTATTACTCACTCCAAATGAATCACGGTGAAGATGAAATATGAGCATCATTACAGCCTTCCACAACTTTGAAGATAGCATCCTGTTCTAAGTGGGCAAAATACAAGGTCTTCTGACCTCTCAGCAACATCAGCAGCATGATTTTGACTTTTGTAAAACTATTTTTGATTTGGATAACATGGCCATATTAGGGCTACCGTACATTTAACAGTACTGTACTGCTTCTGTAGTAAGCAGTAATTTGTAATATGGCATGCTGAAAAAAGCTCTATATGTTGAACTTCTCCCTGATACATTTCTACTAAAAGACATGGAACTGCAAAATAAGGGCAAGAAAGGTGTCGATACTACATTTGGCTGATGTAATTGCAACTATTTTTGCTTAATTTTCAAGGGAATGTAATGTCTTTTAGCTGTGATAGCCCCAGAGGCAACAAACATTTTATCTGTAGAGACCTTGAAATCTAATTAAGTTTTCCGAAAAGTAATTAACATGTTGTGTGACCAAAATTGGTATTTAGTTTTTCTGCAAACAGCACATTTCCTTAGAGTGATATCTACCTCACATTTATTTATTTACTTTTTTTGTAACACCTACATCTCAAGCTTTTTTTTTTCCAGCAAAAGTCAATCAAAACATCACCTCTGCTATGTAGTTGACTCACTACCAGAATGAGTTGCAGCCGCACAGAAGTGATGGGGCAGCAGCGTATCTACTTACCACATGGTCCAGCCAAGCTATATCAAAAGGCAATGCCAGAAGTTAATAATATGATGAACCACAGACCTTGAAGATGTTAACTACAGGTCAGTGGAAACTTCCTCTTCATGGAAAAGGTGCTGAGTGGATAGCTGCAAGCCAGCTCCAGGCACTCTTGAATGAAACTTCAGACCTGGCTTGGAAGAGAAACTGCCTAGGACATCCTATGGAGTGACCTTTGCTGAGAGGATTAGAGGGAGTCTCCAGGATCTTTCATCAGCTTTCTGTACCATTCTGTATCCTTACAGATAAGCCATCTGGGCTGGGAGTTAGAGGTATTGACCTACAGGGCTACTACAATTTGGATGGCTGATTCCAGAAGGCAATGCTGGAAAATTATGCCATGTCCCACTTATGCCACTGGGCTCTGTTTTATTCCCCATGCTGATCAACAACTACTTAATCTTTCTGAGGGAGGTTATTTAGAGATATGAGTGAAGGTGTCACCAATATGCAGGTAGCATTCAGTTCTATGTCTCCTGTTCATCAAATTCAGGTGAAGCAATTAATCAATCTCTGGATGGACTGGATGAGGACCAATAAACTCAAACTGAATTCAGACTGTTAGTGGGTGCTTCTTTTACCTTCATGAGTCATCTTCAACTTGTCCTAGAGGGCTCCACTTCCCTAAAGGACCAAGTCCATAGTTTGGAGGCACTTCGCAATCCAGCACTGTCATTAGAGCACTTGGTAGCCCAGAACACCATTGATCAGCTAAGGCTGACACACCAAGTATGATCATATCTGGTCAGAGAGCAGCCAGCTACAGTTCTCCGTGCCCCAGGAACCTCTCATCTGGATTACTCCAACACGTGCTACATGGGCATGCCTTTGGAAACTGTCCAGTACCACCAGCTAGACCCCGATGCAGCAGTGAGACTGTTAACAGGGACTAACCAACATGATCTTATTGTGCTAATACTTTTGCATCTGCACTAGCAGGTACACTGGTTCCATGCTAGACTTGCTAACCACTAGCTATTTGAGAACTATGTCATATGTCTTAAGTAACATTTGGATTATCCCCCTGTAGCAGTTATATGAAACAGTTTCACAGGTGCCCTAATTCATCTTACCTGATATACCTAATTATCATAGCTGATAGTCCTAACTGCTGTTCTTTATTCTGATTTCATCTAGCTGGAGTGGCAAATTTTAAAATAAATAGATTCACTGCCAGAATCCTAGATATTGACTCCTGCACAAAACCAAGTGTGGTGTCCTAGCTCTATTTCTGCTTCTCACACATCCAGTTTTACTCCACATCACCAGAGGTATGGGTCTGCCCCCATGATTCACCCAGTTGAGAAAATAAAACTTGTTCCCTATTCCTTGCCCCCATGTAATTAAAAGAAATCTCTGTCTGAACCAGTTCCTCAACCCAGCAAGCAGCCAAGAGTAGATTTCCACCAGAGATTCTATAGATGCACAATAAATTCTTAAAACACATCCCAAGATGTGTGACTTGGCATCATGCCAAACCCAGAAAGCTCCAATTACTTTTAGGAGCTGCATTTAAGAGGTTCAATGATAATGTGTTAATTCATTTCTGGATGTGAAATCATGCCAGTGCTTGACAATGTGTTCTGGGGGAGAAGTCTGCCCTGTCAAGGTATGCAGATCCATACTCCTTCAGTTTATGAAGCTACCTGCCTTGCAGTTTCACCCTATTCTCTCATTCTTTCATTCTCTTTCTTCTTTCCTTCCTTTTTTCCTTCTCTGGCCTCCTCCAACACTGTCCGCCTTCCCTTCCGTCAGCTGCAGCCTGGCTGTTGTCTCCAGCACAGCTCCTCTGGCAGCTGTTTTACTTTTTTATCAGCCAGCACCTATATACAGGCACATGAATCCAGAGTGGTTTATCTATTTTAATAGCATCTGAAGTGACTAAGAGGCCCAGCTGCCTGCCAGCCAGCCACAAAAGCCATCTTCAAGGTAGCAGCTGGATGGAAGCCACACTAGGCTTCTTTATTCCTGTGCAGCCTCGTGGCTCCATGGTAGCACATATTGTACATTATGAGTCCAGCAAAGCTAACGGTTCAGCAGAGTATTATGGAATCCTTACTATGCTAAATTTCATGCACTCACATTCTCATATAACGTTCCTTGGCACCAAGGCTCACATTTTCCAGTTACACAGTCTACTTCTTGAGACTTTTACACAGAGAATTACAGTGTGAAAGAAAAAAATGCCTCCATAACTATTGGCAATGACACAAAGCCATTACGCGGCTGGTTCTTTGCATTCTTGTGCTACATTATGTGCAATAGTGTACACACATAATGCATAGCTTTCAAGTGAGGTTTTCTAATCTTATTCGCATGACTCCAACAGGACTCTGAGAAAGAAAAACAACTCCAAAATGGGGAAGCAGGGATACAACCCTATTGTTCTTGTGTGACATATTCCAGCATAAAACAAATGAAAATTAAGGCCCAAGAGGTCCTTAGACCAGGAACTTGTGGCCCTCAATATGTTGATGGACAGCACCTCCCATCACCACTGACTTCTGGTTATCCCATTGGCAGCTGATGAGAACTGGGGGATTGCAGGATCTTCATCCTTAAGCATTAAGCCAATGAGGGTGGGATTCCCTAGATAATCCATCAGCTCACATTCTCTTTTATTGCCATGACCAATGGCTTTATCAGAGCCTAAGAAGAGCTATGCTGGATCAGACTCGCATTCTAGAAACCCATGAATAACAATGCCATCCCACCCATGTTCCCCAGCAGCTGGTGTACATAAGCATGCTGTCTCTGAAGGGATCAAATAACCACCTGAAGTTCCGATTGCCTTCTCTATGAATTAATCCTGTCTTCTTTTAAAGCCTTCCGAACTAGTGGCAATCACTACATCTTGAAGTGAATTTCCTAGTTTAATCATGCTGTGTGAAAAACTTCCTTTTATCTGTCCTGAAATTTCCCATCATCAGCTTCATGGGATGACCCTGCCCCCTCTAGCATTAAAAGAGTGGGAGACGAGACTCTTCCAATCACAGCATGCATAATTTGTCCACCGCTGTCATGTCTCCCTTTAGTTACTTTTTTCCTAAGCTCAACAATACCATTGTTGTGACCTCTCCTCATAGGGCAGTGCTCACACCACTCCTTTGCTTTAATTTCTGCACTGTTTCTGACTCCAACTCTAACTCTGCCACAATATCCTTATACAGCATGACATGAGCAGCACAAATAAAGCAGCACCAAATATTCTGCAGTTTTAAGAATGAGGCAGAAGCTCTTACACTTCACTTATATCAATATTTCCCTTTAAGAAAGAATTCACTCTGACACAACTGGTTTACCTGATCACCCCTGCATCTGTCTCAGCTCCATTTTGCCCTGAATGTTAGTACTTCTTGCCCTAGTCATAATTTATCATTCAGTGAGTAGGACTAGGTGGTCCTTGCTTTTCTGCTTTAAAGGGATCTCAGGCAGTAGGGCTGGAAGGACATTTGTCTGGCACCTTAGAAAAGTGTCACTAGTCCAAGCACACGCATGCTCTGAATCAGGATAAAGGCCTTGATGTAGAAGATGGTACTTGGTGAACGTGTGCACAAGTAGTACCAAAACTCCTAGGAAGAGAGGATTTTTTTTGGCACTACTTAAACTCTTAGTGAAAGTATGGTTGTTCCTCCATGTCAGCTTTATAATCAACCCTGGGATGCAATAAAAGGTGTCTCACTTTGAGAGGCAAGGAACACACAGCAACATCTGAGTCTCTGTAACACTGTTTTTCAGCCATACAGTGATCATGACTTGCAAGTGAATTGTTGACCTGTCAAAGGTAGGTTGTGCCAATAATGCTCCCATCACCTTCATTGAGAGTAGAGAAACAGAAGAACAGGAGAATTAAGGCAGAATATGTGATATGGGTCACCGTGGCTGAAGACCACTGATCTAAAGAACAGGTAATTTAGCCATTATTGCTAAAGCAACATTTACCTTCCCAAACTTGTTGACCTCAATACAGTTTTCTTTAAATTTCTCCTGTAACATCTCTGCTAGCCGGCAGAGCAAAGCACCATTATCCAGTTTCTCCATGAAGGTTTCAGCTGTTATCTCCTTTCCTGAAAAGGAAGAAAAATAATAGTAATCAGTGTCAGCTACTAGTCATTAACTGAGGAGCTCTCATGGTACTGTTGATTTGTACAAGACTTGTTTCACTTTCAGTTGAAGAAATTGGTGCCATTTTATAAATGTGCAAGCTTACCAGTTCTTGTTAGGAGAAACATGTTGTTACCGGTAAAACATCTGGAAATTGCTAACTTCTGCTCTAGCTGAATGAGCAAGAGTGGAGACCAGTCTCATCTCCTCCCCTCTTTCATGCTCACAAAGAGGGAAGAAATTTTGCTTCTGATTTGAAGCAAACCAGAATTCCTCATGATTGTGTTTATTTATGCAAGTATTTTTAACCTGTCCTTCATCCTTGTGGACACCAAGATGCAATGCAGGAAGCAATTTTATACAACAACAACATTACTGTTATAAAAACAGTAAGATCCAATCATCATAAAACAATTGAAAAGCAGCAGTTACTGCAAGCTAGATTAATTCAGCTTAACATTTCCAGATAGACAAAAACATTTAACCTGGCAGTGGAAAGGCTGCCATGTTGGTGCCAGAAACTTGTATGGGGAAAGCATTCCTCCATCAAGCCACTATGATGGAGAAGGCTTTCTCTCTTTGCAACCTATAATCTGTTGAAGAGCTTTGGAGAAGATGGTCCCCTGCATATCTGGGTTTGCACTCTGGCTTTCCTCTCCTGACAAGCCAGACTCCCTGGGTTTTGTGTTATGCTAAATAATCCAGGGACACTCTGTTCCAGGGCTGTTCAGCCAATCCCACTTAAAGCACTCACAACAATCAATAGGTTATAAAAAGGATTCTTGCAACATGCAAACCAAGCCAGTGAATAAGCAGAGAATCAGAGTTAATTGATAACTATAAAAACCTAAAAAAGAAAGAAAACTGGGTGACACAGTGATTGGGTTGAGGCCAGAAGACTTTTGCCCTGACTAATAACTGAGATATGATTACCCCTATAAGAAAGTACCAGTTTTTGTGTGGAAAAGCAGAATGGCAGGTGGGGAGAATAAGTGACCATCAGTTGAATAAGATACAAATCCTCAGCCCAGTCCTCATGCTATTTTTCAGTGGCAGATAGGTTGAAAACAAGATGTTGCAAACCCTGTCAAGTTGACGCTTTCTAAAAATGTTTCTGCAAGTACATTGTTGACTTTAAAAGTGTGTATGTGTGTGTGTTTGGGATTACTGCTCCGTCAACTGAAGCATGATTATCTATACTGTGCCAACTAGCATCACACGTGCCCATGAACATTGCCTTAAAGTAGATATTTTGTTTGCTTTCGGTACATCTTGGAACAAAAAGTGCCCCTTTGTTTTGGTTTTCTTAAAGTTTGTAAAATAATTTGCACCTTCGCAGTGTTGAGTATCTTGTGTATATCAAGTGATAACAATGCCAATTAAATCCATTTCTGTTCCAGATTGTAGCACAGCAAACAGGGGAAAAATCAAAAGGAGATGAATACTTCTGGAAGGCACTGAAAACACTTCCTGAGGGTCTCCCACAAGTAGTTGATTGGCTGCTGTATGAATGCCAAACAAGAGAAATGCTTTGCCAGATCCTGCATGGTTCTTCTTATGTTCTTACACGGTGGAAAACATTACATGTCTGAATGTTCCTCTGAGTTTCCACATTTCCAGATTTTAAAGTGTGAGATGGCCCACAGCTGACAGTGGGCATGGAACTATATGGAGCAGGCAGAACCGAAACAGGGTTTTTTTCAGGGGGGTTGCTTGGGAGGGGATTTGCAGGTTCAAAGTCAGCTCTTGGTCAGCTCCATCAGCTGCTGCACTTCAGTGTGCCAGGAGCATGGGAAGCTGGCCTTCACTTTTGAAAAACACTGTGCAGTAAAAGAATGGGGTTTTTTTGCTCCAAGAGAACATAATATTGTAATAAAATCTAGAATTGATCACTGCTCTGAACAGACATTCATCAGTTTGCAGTACTTGTTGAAATAATAGCCACAAGGGATATGTCATTTAGCACAGAGTGAATGTGTTTTGCATTCAACATCTGTATTTACTGGAAAAAAATATCTTTGTATCTCAGCCTTCATTAGCCAGAAACATACCCATGCGTGGAGCTCCTGCATTCCTTCCACCCTCCAGAGCAGATATCTTCAATATCTAGACTACAATTTTAAGCACATCTCAGGTGAAATCCATGAAAAGTTGTATGTCTGAATGCCTTGCCCCTGCAGCCCGTTCTGTGCATGCGTCACACATTCAGGAGCCATGCAAAGGAACCAGGATCTGGTCCAGTCAGTCTTGCCCCTCAGTGTCACATCAGCGCCAGTGTATACACTGAACTGGGCACAAACAAGAAGCACCTACATGCATAAGTAGGCATTCCACATGAGTGGGAACCTTGGACAAGCAGAGGCCCCAAGCACATGGGTCTCTGGAACCAGAGTGGTGAAGGAGCAGTCTTTCCTTCACTCTTGCACTCTCACTGGACGTTTGCTTCTTCCAAAGGCAGCATCTGGTTGGCTCAGCTTCCTGCTACTCAGTTGAAAAGTCTCCCAAAGCCAACCAGGTCAGGTGGGCATGGGGAGGGAATCCCTGGACCATCGGGCTCAAGATCTACACCCTATAGACTAGCCCTGGTAGCACCATACATGAACTTTGGTCCATCCTTCCATGGACCCATTGATTCTTGGCCTTAACATTGCCTACTAAAATCTTCCAAGTCCATCTTTAGTGATAAGTCCACTGCTTCAGTAGTCCACTGTTTTCTCTAAAATTATAGCTCCTCCTCAGCCACCTTGCCTCTGAACTCTTCACTTCCCAACCTTTGGATACCATTTTGCAGTCCTCTGCCTACCTGGAAATATTTTCCAGTTTCTCAGCCTAACCACTTTCCCTTCTGTCCCACAAGCTGAACTGCAAAGTGCAATTGCAGTGATAACTTTGTTCCCTTAATAGAAGATTATGAACATTTTGGCTTTCTTCCAGCTCGGTCAATTTATGCTAGAGGCATTACAGCTAAAACACAAAGCAATATCAATTACGGTAGTTGGGTTTGTTTGTTTTTCCTAGAAAGGATAAAAAGCAGCAGTAACAAGAGAAAAGGGTTACAAGGAGCTTACAGTCTTGACTTAGCACTGTGGGGAACAAAACAGATAGAAGTGGGGACAACAGTGCAAGAGTGTGCTCAAATTCAATTTCATGTTTTTAGGGTTGGTTTCAGAAGACAATGAGATTTAATCAAAAGCTACATCAAATCAGTTACATCAAAAGCTTCAGGAAAAATATGCCATTGTGTAGCGGGCACTGGTTTAGGGAACAAAGAGAAGCAATGGGGAAAAAGGCTGGTTTAGAGTTATGTGAGGGTTGTTTAAACCTCACATGAGCCACCCTAGCCTTTATAGGTAACATAATAAAATCCAGCATGCGTCACAACCCACAGTAGCTTAAATAAGCCATGCTGGGCTGCAGTGAATATTCAGACCACCCTGTGAAAGGCATTTCAAGGTGGTGAAACTGAAGGTGAAGGGTAACTCGGGAGAAGTGATGGCAAAGCTCTGAAGGGAATCTCAAGGACTTGTGTGCTTGATGTGGAAGCCTTGGCCAATATACTGTGCCTACTGATTATTAGTGGTTCCTTAGGCCTGTGCACAACACACACACACACACACACACACACAGGAGACACAATTCCCTTTACTGTCCCACTCCCCGCTGTCAAAAAGGCTGCCCAGCTTGTTCTTGTCAGCAGCACCAACATTCTTATATATTTTTGGACTGGTCAGCACTCATCTTTTTTTCCTAATAAGGGTTTCCTTTTCACCCCTTGGGCACCTAGAATGATACTCCTAAGGCTCATTTATCAACCTTATCTGTGGAGCAAAATGAAAAGACCTTGAATGTGCCATTTAGGATATTCTGCCTAAATATTTAAGGGTGCATTGCTGTCTCAACAATATTAGGAGCGGCAGGATTTTTTTCTGACTAAACATGAATAGGGTTGCACCTAATGGGGGTAAATTCTCAGAAACAAAAGGAAAACCACACTGCATTTAAGAAAAGCAACAGAACCAAACACTTATGCCAAATATCTCTGGGAAAAAAAAAAAACAGAGTTGCCCACACCAGCTTGCTTGTTTGTTTCTACGTGGCCCATCAGCCAAAATGCTCCCTGGGCAGTTCACAAAATCAAAAGTTACAATAATTAATGTAAAATAATCATTATATAATCAGATTAATACAATTAGTAAGAAAGTACAATAATACAAAGACAATGATGCACCCACCACAACTGCAGCTAAATCGATCTAGAGGTAAAGTAATAAAATACAGTGAAAATTTGTTAAAATATAGGGAAAATAATAATTATATTGCCAGCAGGGACAAAGAGTGGGCACCAGGTGCACTTCTTTGCTGTTTCCACAGATGGGATGCCACATGCAAGAAGGCCCTCCTCCTAACAGCCACGCTCCTAGCTTCCTTTGAAGGACCTCCTCTGATGATCTCAGGGTTTGAGTTGGCACGTACAGAAGGAGGCTTTCCTTCAGATAACCTGGCCCCAAAACATTTAGGGCATTAAACACTTAATGTTAGCACTTTGAATTGGTCAATCAATCGGTAACCAATCTAATTGACAGAGGACTGGCATGATGTGTTTTTGTTGGTCAGACCCCATTAGCAGCCTGGCTGCTCTTTTTTGAACCAATTGAAGTCTCCAGACCCTTTTCAAAGGCAGTCCTACATACAGCACATTACAATAGTCCAAATGGGAGGTTACCAGTTTTTCACAGACAGTCCTTTAAAGTGCTTGGCCTCCTCTGCAGCTTTATGAAGAATTAAAGTCTGGTGTGGCACTTCAAAGTCTCACATTGCCATGAGCACTTCCTTGCTGATTTCAGGTTTGACGGCGTCCATGTGAAAGCAGTCTTTGCGGGATTGCCAATGAAGCCCTGCCATCCCTTCATCAATGATCAGTAGAAGCGTCCAATTTAATATTGAAGCTGTATATTGAAAGTTCAAACAACAAAACCCTTGTTCCAGAGGGAGAGATAATTGGATCCTAGCTTTAAAAATGTACCACGGGGGTGGGTACCACTTTGAATATCACTATTTAACTTAGTTTTAAAGGGTTGGAAATGGCTCTTGCAAGTCAGAGGGTGTTTTGTTTTGTTCCCCTTGTCCCGACCATGTCTAACTGATGTGTCAAAATGCACACAGAAGACTGGCTCTGCAGGAGTTACCAAACTCTCCCGAGGGCTTTGAAGTGTCAGGTGTGTGCATTACTCATTCTAACAAGCATTTGCACACCTTTTCAATCCACAACAGTAAAGCATGGGAGTCAACCTCTTCCTGTAAATTACAACATAGGGAACCGTTGCATGAAAGAGGATACTTCATTACTAACAACACCCAAAAACCCATCCAAGCACAGACTTGAGGGACACACCCTTGCATATTTCTCCCCCCAAACTTTAATAGGAATTCCTTGCTGGATTAAATACTTGCCCTGGGACTTCAACAAATTCAGTCACCTTGCCTCAGTTTCTCACATATTACATGGCAGTATGGGGAAATCCCAGGCCTTTGAGATTCCCCTATATCCTGCCTTTCCCTGGCTCCCTACGAACAATCAGTTAATGATTTGGGGGCCTTCGTGCAGATTTTTTCCCCATTCTAAGAGCTGAACTACTTTTCTTAAAGCTGAGTTAACAGCAGCAAGAATGTTAGGCTGGTATATGCTAGTATTTTGGCCCACTGTCTTTGCCTTCAGCCCTGCCCACCAAGGCTAATAGGGTCCCACTGGATTCCCCAACAGGGAACTTGGGCCCTCAGACTGAAAGCAGTTGGATAGCATATAATCCATGAGAAATTGACAAATGTTTGAGATGGAGACACGTTATATAAAATGTTGTTTATTGTGCATACCATGCACATTTCATAAACAATCAACACTTGTCAAATAAAATAAAATAATAGAAAATAATAGAATAAAATCTGCTTCTATGAAGAGCCCTCTTGACTCATTTCTGTCATGAAAGAAGCAAGATGGTTTCTATAGGAATGCAGGACTGCAAGTTTGGCTATAGCTGCAAGGACATGTTTCCTTCTTGCTTCCCATATGCTGAGGATGGGACTACACACGGGCTACCCATGCAATTTATCAGCCCAGAAATCAGAGTGCTAAATCTGAGTGCTACATGGGGGAGTAATCTGAGCACAAAAGGGTTTCACCACAGAATTTACCCGCAGGTTCCAACGCCAACACCATTGCCTCCATTGGTGAAGTTGCCAGATCAGTAGGTTCTAAACTCAAGCAGTGCTGATTGGTACTCAGTCAACATGGAACCTCAACATACACACACACAAGGGAAATTTCAGATTGCTTCGAGGGGATTCCAAAATTTATAGACATTTCTCTACAGAAAATTTAGAGGAAAAATACAGAACATAAAGTTATTTTTTCTTTTTAAAAAGAGGGATGAAAAGACCCACAAAACAAAACAAACATGACTATACATGTTTGTAGTTATGTGTAGGAAAGGATGGGAAAGGAGCAGGGAGAGCAGACATGCATAGTCCTCTCATCCTTCCTCAGACAGGGAGGCTGGCCTGCTCTGGGCAGTCTCCCCACCAGAGAAAAGGGGACTTTGAAGGTGTGCATCAGGACCCCTGATATGCAGCTCAGTCTGTGCCATCCAAAACTCCAAAGCGCGAAACAGCCAAAGAAGGGAGGAGGAAACAAACAGAAGGTACATAAGTGTACTGAGCAGATCTTCTTTGGCAGAAGTTAAAGAAAGTTGGGACCTTCTCCATTCCTTGCCTGGACTCATTTCACTGAGATCCATAAAGACAAATCTCAAAGGACAGAGAGAAACTTGTACAACTTTGCTGAAGGACAGCTGGCCCAATATTACCAATCATCCCCTTCAGTACTGTGGCAGACACTGTAAGGAGTATGGACTATGTGATAAGGCAGCCTTTCCAACAAAGATAATAACAAAGAACTTTCTTTTCTCCAGTCATTTTAAAGACCTAATTCTATGTTATTGTTGCTATTTTATTGACTATTGACTATTTATTATTTTGCATTCTACTTTGTTGTATTTTAAATATCTGTACCAAGTATTATATTTTAACTGTAATATGTCATTGTTTGTTTTGTAATCTGCCCAAGTGCATGATTTATTGGACATATTAGAGTTGTAATTACTTAATAAATCAATTAATCCAAAAGATCTGGATGTTACCAAGTTGGGTTGGGGGGGGAGGGGGACTCTTCTAGTTTGTACACTTATTTTCTATAGGAAATAACAAACTTCAAGCAACCAACTGCATGTTCACATGAACTGAGAAATAACCTTCAGATTCTCCATATTTCCCTTCAGATTCTCTGTGGCAAACACACCGAAGTTCCTCAGCAAACATATGGGCATGGAAAGGGATCCCAAAATGGAGAAAGTCTGAAAGCTGCTGTGCTAAGAGAATTGCCAAGGCAATAACCCAAGGGAAGAGCATGGGTTGTCCGTGAACCATGGGTTGTTACTGAAATATGGGGTATTGTGTTGTCTGAACCCATGGGCTACTTTTCTCTAGCACTGACAAGGGAAAGGCATCTTCTTTCTCCATGGTCAGAGTGATTATTCTGTGCCTCTCTGTACACAGAAAAAGAGACTCCAATTATGGCTGAAGTTGGGGCTTCACATGGGATGGCGTCATCCATGCCCAGGTGGTGTCCTGGGAGGTCACCCCCACAGGTCAAGGCAAAGGAAAGTTTCCAACTGAGAATTCTGATTGAAAACTTGGTCTCCTTGGCAATGTGCTATACCAATTCTCAATTGAGCCAGTCATGCTGGATTATTTCCAAACCGTGGCCCTTAGCTCCTTATGCAGGACATCTGTAGCAAATGAATCATTTGACAGACACCTGCATGGAAGTGGTGGGAAATGCCTGGCTACAAGCACATTTTTCCTAGCCACTGTATGTTTAATATAGATTAGGAAGATGATGTTTGGAAGCAAACAGGTGTGGATGGAGCACTTTGATGTGGAGAGAGGAAACCATGCCAGGAAGAACAGGAGGAAAAGCTGACATTAACCTGTTCCTCTCACTGGTGGCAGAATAGAAGTTCATGAGGAAATACTTGCCATCCTCTGACCAGCATCATAAAGTTTCAGTCCAGCTATGAGAAAATACATATGCCTAGCATGCTGAGTGTTCAAATGGTTTTTTTCAAAAACATCTGCCATTTTGGAAACACATTTAGATACATCTACGCACTGGCACAAAAATATCTAAATTGTATGCTGAGTCTTTAGCATCCATAAATTCTGCTAGCAGCTATAAAATGATTTCAGTTTCAATTAGAACCATAAAATATACTGGATTGGATCCAGACTAAAAGAGTTCCCATTTAGCCCCATTGAGGTCTATGTGAAAAGTTAAGTCATGACTTCAGTTCCCCTGATTGCAAAGCAAATGAAGGGAGCCAAAGTCTAAACTCAACCCACTGAGTTTTAAAATGTCAGATTTCATCTATTGTGAAGCTGTGCAAATGCTTGAAACATCACTACCTCTAACAGCAAGCTCAGGTGATGACGGCCAACAGACATGGAGCCAAAACAGTGCCACTGGAAACAAGTGGAAGGTTTCAGCATGCTCTGAGAAAGTTGAAGATTTACAGAAGTACAAAGTATCTTTTAACGAAAATCCTAAAGGGCTGAAATACAAATAATTCCTTTGAAAATATCATGAAAGCTGAGCATGGTTGGTAACCATGAAACATTAGTAAGAGAAACTGGGGAAAGGGGGGGGGGTGAAATGCCCTCTCAGGTAGAATGCTTGGCTGGAAATCTGGTCAGGTGGAGTAATACCTTACAACATTTTTACTCAGTCTTCTACCCATGAAAAACTCTGTTTCATAGGGAAATTTGCTTTCCTATAGGGGCTTTTTGACTACCCCTGGGCCTGCATGAGAGAAATGAAAACGGCAAAGACTCACCAGTCACAAAATGGTGACCAATGAGGTGGAGTTTGGCAAAAATCATCTGGCAGTTGCTGGTATCATGTTACATGGGTATCTAATCTGTCATGAAAGTGGCTATATTCTTTCCCACAGCTACTTCCTTCTATTAGGGAGCTCCATTATTCAGTGGTCCTCAAATAAAGTTCAGGCAATGGTTCTCCCCATTTTGGGAAAAAATTACTGAGTCAGAGGTTCTGGATTTCCATCATGGAGTCCCTGGGCACTAATATGCCCAAAACCACCTCTTTAGACCACTGGGCCCGCTGCCACTTTAATTTTATTTCTTAGGATTAATTTGCTTTTTCATGTTGAGATGGACACCCTGCAAAGAAAAGCTCTGCTCTTTGTTTGGGTTCACATGTTTTATTTGAGTTCAAAAGAATAACTTTGTATTTTTGGAGCTTAGCCCTCCACCTCAGTTCTGTACCCAGTTTCTTGGAACAATTTCTTTTCTGTTAGTTTTGGCAGTTTGTCTTCTGTTAAATGTGTTTTGTGCCATGCCCAGGGTGGTCACGCCCACCCTGGTAGCCATTTTATGGATGAAAAAGCCCTCCATGGCAGCTTTTTAATAAATGGGCCTATGACATGCTCTCCAACTTCCAAATTTGTCCAACGGTCCCAAAAGATCCCTGCTTTAAATAGACAAAATTCTTTATTTTATATTATTTCTCTATTTCCTCAGATGGGAAACCTGCTTGAATTCTCAGACTGAACAGTTCTGTCAAACAGAAGGGAAGATAAATTCCAGAAGCTTAATTGTTTATTTACATCACATCTTTCCATATGTGGTTCAGGAACCAAAACCAGAATCAGGGCACCATCTTATACATGTTTAGTCAGAAAAAGTCCTACAACTACCAGCATGCTCCAGTCAACCACAGATTTCTAATCTGGTATGGCCTGGATCCTTAGCTACTTAGAAAGAACCAGCAATCATGACAGGAGAGAGAAAGAACCTTACCCAGCATGTTTGTCAGCCACAGTGCCAAATCCTCCTTCATCGGTAACAAATTAGCCTCATGCCTGCTGGCCAGCCACTGGCTATACTGGTGCATATCAGAGAGACCAGGGCCTCGGGCCTTTGGGCTCAACGCAGTGCACATCCTTTAACCACTGGTGCTACCTGTTTTGTGAAAGTTCAAAAAGAGAAATTTAGTGTGCTGCACAACGTTGTGTAGATTTATTCTTTATAGCTGCTAATGGTTCAGATTCAATATGAGTTAACACAGACGATGCCAGACAAACATAGGTTTGTTCCATGAAAACAATATACATGATGGCTATTCAGTGTTTATTTTTTTTAAAATGGGGTGCATTGCTGGTGATGATCTAGGAACTAGGAATAGATGAAACTGTGCATACTTACCTTGATGCACATGTTGACAAAAAATGACTGCAGCCAGGGATTAAAAATTCAAATACAAAAGGTGATTAGGCAAAGAGATAATGTATCGCAGAAAAATATTGTGATAATTGGGTAGATTTTGCATAATAGTCATTACTATTTGGAGAAAAGGTATGTTGACATACAGAAAAGTGATCCTGGAAGAGTCCCAGAGAAGCCACCCACTGAGTTTTCTACCTGGAGCCAAGATACATATTACATTAAATGCATGGCACATAGCTGAAAGTTTTATTTTGTTTTACTGTAGCATAAACATTAATGGAGTATTTTTCCCTTTTATTAAATAAACCTTTTATCAATGGTGGGCAAATACCACCTTACCTGGAAGCAAAATAGGGAGGATATTTTTTTTAAGGCACAAATTCAGTTTCCATCTGAATTAAAAAATAATTCTAAGATTAATCCCAAGGACCCAGTCAAAACAGGAACCTGGAAGTCGTCTCAGTCACTGGGCAGGGTTGCATACTTGTCAGCAGGCACCCAGATTAGACCCTGATGATCTAGCTATTTACATGACTGTAAGCAGGTGGGTTTACAAGAGAAGTAGGCAGTCTTTCTCAAAGGCCCAGTGAGATAGGACACTGTTTCTCCAGGTTTCTTTGTAGGCATCAGTAAAGCCTAAGTGACTGCCAAATGACTGCAGGGTGCAAACCAAACAGCTCAGCTGCACAACCTCTCTGCAGTTTGGAAGAGATAAAGGGTGAAGCAAAGAGTGCATGCAGCAAAACTATTGATACCATTTAGTTCCCATCAATTCTGCCTGAGGCCACTCAAAACTAAATTATGGGCCAATCCCTTTCTCAAAATAGAAATAACACATATATTTTAAAGCCAGCTTTGCACCTTCCATTCAGCAGGATTAGTAACACTGAGCCAGTGCTGGGACACATGTAGCCCAATTCTCTCCATCTATACTCTAACGTCATTTTCACTGTGCTCATGTTTAATTCCTGATCCAAGAGTGTGCGGGCTGTTAAGTGTCTCCTACTTAATCCATCAGCAGGAGTGACTAAGGGATGAACAAAGAGATTCAGTAGCCAGATCCTAAATTTCAAAAAGCAAAGGAACCTTTGGATCTTGTCCCCGTTTGGCCATGGAGCCAACTGGGTGACTTTGGGCCAGTCACAGACTCTCAGCCCAGCCTACCTCACAGGGTTGTTGTTGTGGGGATAAGATGGAGGAGGAGAATGATGTAAGCTGCCTTGAGCCCTCTGTAGGAAAAAGGCAGGATATAAATGGAAATAAATAAATAAATAAATAAAATAAAGTAAGGGCATCTGAGGTTGGGCAGTGCATCAGGATATCTGGACAAACTGACAACCCATTCAATTCTATGCTTCATTAGTTTGTAACTCCTTGATAAGATAGAATGAATTTATTTTTTAAAAAATCAATATATCTGGTTGGATCCAGACTTAGTCATACATAGAGTAGGCCCACTTAAATCAATAACACAGTGTAGAATAGTAATTTAGCTGCTGGATAGGGAATTGGGGAGCTCCAGGTTCTGTGATTTCAGAACAGTCACAGACTCTCAGCCTAACTCTTGTCACAAAATTGTTATTGTGAGGGTAAAATTCAGAGGAAGAGGAAGCGGAGGAATATGTAAGCTGGCTTGAGTTCCTTGAAAGGAAAATCAGTATATAAATAAAATAAATACATAAATAACTTAACTACCATCAATTTCAACTCTACATATGACTAAGCCACCTTGAATATTATTTATTTGTTTGTTCATTTGATTACAGCATCGCCTTATTCCAGTATGGGAGATTTCAGAATGTTGAACAATAAAAGGTAAAGCAAATGAAAATAATAAATCTGTATGTTAAAAATAAATTCAATAAAACTATCCATAAAAGATTGGCTGGTTAGATCAGGAAGGCTTTCTGAAATAGAAGTGTTTGCAGGAGGCACGGAAAACGATGTAACTTTAGAGTCTGCCTGATCTCAAGAGGCAGAAAGTTTGTACGAGCTCCATTTTACACCTGGAGTAGTACAAATGAAATCCACTCAGAACTAATTTCTTTTCCAGTAACCAGAGGCTCCCACCTTGAACAAAAGAAGCATCTCTAGCATATGAGCCCTTTTCATAATTCTCCCCACCCAACCATTCCACAGTCCTTCTGCAGCCCCTTTACCCATTCTAGGGAGCAGATTCTTCTAGGGAGGGAGAAAACATTGCAGAGCGGATGCAATGCACTGGTCCTGAATTGCCTGCCTTGAGTGATGTAAGCAAGTCAGGAGCATCCAGAAAGAGGAGGAAAAAAAGCAAAGCATGCAAGAGCAGTAGTGTTTCAGAGCCAAACCAGATATGGCATGCAGGAGATCTATGAATGGTATCTGCTTCTGAGCCAGTTGGGTTTTTGCTTTAAAGAGCAAAACATTCGCATCTCAAAAGAGTGGAGGTCAAAGACTTAGATATCACTGCCATTTTCCCAATTAAAATTATCTTCAAAGCTGGTATTCATGCCTGTAAACTTCACCTCCAGGATAAATCGTGGTCAAGGGAGTAGGGAAAGAGAAACCAAGATGTAACACTGCAGGCTCGAAAGGGGAAGTGACACAGAACTTATCCTTATTTGCTGTGAACCAAGGTCACACAGGGCTGCAATGAGCCCCACTCATTCTGATATGCAGCAGGATCCAACTCATATGGAATCACAGAAAGGTAGAATAGTAGAGTTGGAAGAGGCCAGTGAAGGCCTCTGGGTCCACGGGGTCCAACCTCCTATATATTGCAGAACACAATATATACCATCCCGTTCAGATGGCTGTCCAGGTTCTTTTTGAATGTCTCCAGTGTGAGAGAGCCCACCACCTCTCTAGGCAGCTGGTTCCACTGTTGTATTACTCTGATCGTGAGGAAACATTTCTTGATATATAGCCTGAATCTGGGTTGTCACAGTTTGAACTGATTATTCCATGTCCTACACTCTGCTATCAGCCAAGAAGAGATCTTAACCTTCCTCTTTGTGACAGCCTTTGAGGTATTTATAGAGGGATACCATGTCCCCCCTCAATCTTTTCTTCTCAAGGCTGAACATGCCCAATTTTCTCAGCATTTCTTCATATGGGAGTCTTTGCCAAACCCTGGATCATTTTTGTTGCAATCTTCTGAACCTTTATAACTTTTCTGCATCTTTCTTAAATCTTGGTGCCCAGAACAAGATGAGATCTGACTAGTGAAGAGTTCAGAGGATCTACTACTTCTCATGATTTGGAAGTAATGCTTCTATTAATGCATCCCCCACTTTAATGCATATTAAATAGCATTTGCCCCCCACTTTTTTGAGAATCTATATAATGCATAAGTTCATACAGAAACTCTCAGTTTTCAGTTTACAAGACTAATATTAAATCTCAATATTAAGTCTCCAAACAGTATCTTAGTATAAAATAAATAAATTGGTATTTTATAAATTGGCATTTAAGTTTGTTTTACAAAATCTGTTTTTTCAACAGGAATTCATCATCATCAACACCATCATCATCAAGGGACACAGTCAAATCAAATGTTGTACAACATTTAAATGAGTGTCAGAGATATTTTTTGCTTAACTTCAGATCTAATTAGTTGTCAGTCTCATTTTTATACAGATACACAGTTAAAATAAGTTTCAGCATTCAGACATTGATTACAAATTAGATTTTTAAATGATACATTAAAGTTCCATGACATTTTGTAGCATTTTGCTGGAATGCATCAGTCTGACTATTATTTGATACCTATTTCCCTGGCTCTGAGATCAGGGCAGGTTCCAGATCAAGGAACCAAACATGCAGCCCCTATCGTTACAACAACCCTGTAAGATAGGATAGGCGAGGACAAGAGACAGAGATTAGCTCAAGCTCACTCAGTAAGGTCTGTGGTCTAAGTGGGATTCCAACACCAGCCTCTCTGGTCTACATGCAGGTCTCAGTCCACTGCAGTTCTTATACTTGCATACTGCCTTCCAAGCTCCCATGTCAAGGAACCATCACTTGGTTCTAAATTTGGATTTTAGCATGAGTGTTACTGCTGCAAAGTTCAGAAGAGATCATGGCATGTGACAAGCTTCCTCAGCCTAGCAACTGAGTATAAATGCTTGAAGCACTTACCTTTTTAGAGTCTTGCTTTAGATAGAGACCCTCTCCATGTTTTCTCTATGAGATCCTTTACCCAGAACAAGCCGTTATTTACACTCAGTGTAGATACACCTCCTATTTATGCAATGACTCTCTCTCTCTCTCTCTCTCTCTCTCTCTCTCTCTCTCTCTCTCTCATCTCTCTAATACTAATGAGGCATCTTTAATTCTTAGCCTTATTGTCTGTGTCAAAGATTGAGCACAGGATAGTTTACAGTACACCTAATGGCATGTAACAGTTTCAACAAGCAAAAAGGTTACATTCCTCCACATTCACTCCCACAAAACAGTGAAGTTTTTATGTTCCTAGACAGTAGCGCATTTAGCTTTCTGTGTATTGCAGCGAGCTCAGCTTAGTAGCTTGCCAGGCCTGCAATTTAAACTGTCTGCTGATGTTTGTCAGTGATCCCTGAGGATAAGCAAGGGAGGTCAGATGACCGCTTGCCATCATTCTGCAGGGTTTTGTTTTTTGTTGGCAATAATTAGCAAAAATAATGTCAGTTGTGGATTATAGCCACATAGGAGGGGAAGAGATTGGCTTGCTAGGTAACAAAGGGCAATACTGAGCTG